GTAAATAAAACTATATTTTCCAAAACAATATCTAATCATTATTACGTTCATAAACTCCACCAAAACAGTACTTTATCTCCAATAATCTCCAATAGATAAGCATTCGCAATGTGATAACGTCAATCCTGGATTACCCAACAATTTAATCAATTATTATTATATCACTCGAAATAGAGGCTCGTAACCATAAATATTTTTACTGTCCTAAATTAAATTTACTTTATCTCGAACGATTGCTAAATTATTCTAGTGAATTTTATTTATCTATGTCAATGATAATAATTATTCAATTCAACTCACCCGATGACGAGAACGGGAAGGAAGACATTTGATAAGATAAGTGATCCGTATATTGTCGCTAATGAGGCGGTACCCAGCCCTGCGTCAGCGTTTATGGAACTCTGCAGATTGGCAGCACCCTGGTAAATGATATATGATATAGGAAATTGTGGTCAAAAATTATAATATCAGACATATCTAAAATATAAAAATCAATCGCAAAATGTGTTGGTAAGCGCATAAGTCAACAACGCCTGGACCAATTTGGCCAATTCTTTTTCTCAAATGTTCGTTGAAGTCCAAGGATGGTTCTTACGACGAGAAACAAACGAAAGATTGCCAGGAAAACCCTAAAAACAGCCCTTATCTTTTTCACATACAAACGTTTTCTAACTAAAACGTAGAATCAATTTGAGCTTTATTTCTTTTATAATGCGTAAATAAATAAGATGAATTAGAGAATTTATAAAGGTAAACTTGTGAACAGGTAAATTGGAGGATATATAAAATGGTAGAGAGAAGAACTGATAGATAGACGGATATGTATAGGCAAATTAACAGATTGACAGGTTAATTGATAGACATGTAGAACGGGGTAACAGGTAAATTTGTAGGTCGGTAAAATGGTAGATTGATAAACAGGTTGATAGTAAATTATAGACAAATTGTTAAACAGGCAAATTGTTCAACATGTAAATTATTGAACAGGTTAATTGGTAGACATTTAGAACGGGATGACAGGTAAATGGAAAGCGGGTAAATTGGTAGACAGGTAAATTGACAGCCAGGTAAATTGGTAGACAGGTAAATTGGTGAAAAGGTAATTTGTTGGATAGCTATTGGTGAGGTAAATTGGAGGATATGTAAAATGGTGGACAGAACAACTGGAAGATAGTCAAATAACAAGACGAATAAACAGGTTGACAGGTAAATTGGTAAACATGTGGAACGGTTGATAGGTAAATAAGTTGACAGGTAAATTGGTAAGCCGATAAAATGGTAGATTGATTAACAAAATGATAGGTAAATTCGTAGACAGATTGTTGAATGGGTAAATTGTTAAACAGATAGTAGTAACGTTAAACTAAATGTAACAAATACACATATTTGTTCAACTTTTAATCTACACGACAAAGCGTGAACGGGTAGAACTAGTTGAACATTAAATCAAGTATTTTTTTTTTTTACTAAATACATTTGAAGAGAACATTGGATTCCGCCCAATATCGTTGAAGAACAAGATGTAGATTATAGATATGGATCGACGTATAAAAGTAGATATAGAATAAAAAAAACAAATTGAAACTTTAATATTTTTTTAGATTTGGGCACTTTTTGCAATCAGTCATCCAGTGATTTGGGGATACATGCACATTATTTGCCCAATTGAAGTTTGAAAAGTTATCCAGTAGTAAGCCTTTTCAATTTTGAGAAATAAATTAAATCATGCAGTCATATGGAATATTTGAAAACTGAGGATTTTTTAATATATGTACCTGCTGATAATAAGCATCGATTAACTGATTGATTATGTCGTTAAAATACATAACAAAATGAAGAAAATATGTCTATTGGCATACTATTTATATGAGGTTTTAAATGTTTGTAATTTGTATGGTATGGCAACAATGCACTTTTGAAATAATTAAGTTTGTCATAGCGTGTAAATTAAAAATGATTACAATAGTTATATTTATATAATGGATGCAGTTGAATAATTAGTTTTCCCATTATATAATAAGACAATCTGTGATAGATAAACAATAGATCTATGTTAAAGCAAATATTATCGCGTAACAATAATACGCACTTCAGACTTTATTGCTGGTACATATTTGTTTTTATAGATAAAGTGTTAAAATCAAAATATTTTCCGCGTTAAATCAGGTCTGTTGTTGTAGGTAGGGACTGAAAACAATGATAAATTATCCTGAAAAAAATTGAATCAATTATTCCAAGTATTCCGATGGATTTAGGACCTAGCAGACCACTTGAAAACTCGAAGTCTCAAACCATGATCTACTAGACGAAAAATTAAAACTTTAGGAGCTGATGAGACAAGAAGATTAGAAGACCAGAAGTATAGGAGCAGCTGATGAAGGTGATCATTTAATTTTGCCAATTAACTTGGATTTGGCTATTGCCAACTCTGTTGTTAATTTTGGAACAACTCTGTCCTCACTTTACAGTCAACTATAACAATCCCACAATATAATTTGAATTATCTGGAGAAATTTGACTTACCGATTGACTCCATCTGTCAATTATCTCAATTTTGAGAAAGCACAGATAACACAACATAGTACAAATTTTTAGGATATTTTAAAGTAGTAAGTTCGAACAATACTTAATACACGTATAAACATATACACGTATAAAGTAATCGATTTAATTAATTTAAATATTATAACATGTCTTCGACGTGTTAACCCCTCGATGGTCGAAAATAAAATGATATTAACTAATATAAACGCATATTAAAAACAAAAGTTGGGTATTTCAGATTATAAATCATTGGTCAAGGATACAAAACTTTACATTTTAATAACTAATAGGTATATAATGTAAATTTTTAATTAATTTAATTTAAATTAATGTTTCTTTAATAATTCAACAAGTAATTTTTACGGTTTTGATTTTTTGATTGAACGTGAGATTAACAGCGCATTCTTGTTCTGCGTGACCAAACGCAGATTTCAAAGTCTAATAATTGAAAGATAATAGAAAAGTTGTCAGAAAAATTTAAAGCTGCATTTATAAAATTATTTTAGAATGTAAATTTTAAAATTATGGAAGGTATAAACTTAAATATTTTAATACCGCCGTAATATAATTGATGGAGCAATAGACCTAGGATCCACGTCAAGGGGTGATGGTACAAAAAGGAGAAAAAAGAGACAAAATAGATTTTTACTATTTAACAGATTAAAAATAGGTCATATGGTTTTTTTATGAATTTGTTTTAACAATATTTTATAATTTGTCCAGTTATCCGTCTATAAATTGTGAGTGAATTATCACAGATTTTAGGTAGTAAGGGCTACTCTATAATTTTATTTTTTAACCAATCGAAGTAATAAAACAGAGCATAAATGATCTGAAAGCTGCTTGATCATATACATTTATAATTTCATAATTTTACAAGAATCAACGTCAATGCAATCAAGATAAAATTGGCTAAGATATTAATCAGATATATCTCTAAAATGAACCATTTGATAAAATGATTGATGTCCATATAAAACCATCAACAATGAATTGCAAGTTAAACAAAAATTACAAATGAATAGAAGTACAATTTTTTTCTGCCAAATTGCCTAATATAAGTTGAATCAAACAAAACAATGCTTTGTAACAACATGATCACGAATACCAAAACTACCAACAAAATAGATACCATTAAAACCACTGTTTGGTGGTGTCTCACCATCACCAACAAATTTAATGGTTTCCATGGTTCCTGGAAAAACCATAAACTATTAAGGATTTACAATAGGATTTAGAACTATCTATACCTGGATCAATATGCCATTATTCAATCACACTTCTCTACTTGTTGGTTAGAATGAAACACATAATAATAATAATGGGTAGTGCTGCCCTAGACAAAGTAAACGCGTTAACGATCTTCGCCACGACGAATCCAATGAAACACATATTGATATTTATTTATTACTATTAAATGATTAAATGAAATTACCTGAAATGCCGTAAAATT